GAGGCCCACATTGGGTTTGAAATTGTGATCCTCCTGCCTCAATTTCTCAGAGAGCTGGATTATAGGCCTGCGCCACTAGGCCCAGGTAGACCCTTTCCTTTTCTCCAGTGTTCTGAAATTTTATACCATACCTCTAGGTAGAGATATTCATTTATTGACCTGAGCATTTTCTGGGCTTTTTCCTTCAGTTTCAGGAATTGTCTTTTCTTGTCAGTGTACAGCTCTCTTTGCTCCCTTCCTTTAATTCCCTTTCTAAAATGTCCATCAGGAGGAGATTGGATCTGTGATGCTGTTTCTCAATGTCATTTTCTCTTCCCTTTTTGTTCTGTTTCTGTGATTGATTTTGATTGAGTTAATTCTCTTCCACCTCATCTCTTAAATTGTTTCTACTTCACAATATGCTATACTTGATTTGAAGATAAATATATTCTCAAAAATTTCTGAGGCTATTAACTGGATCAATTTAAAATATATATTACAGTGTTCCTTTCATATATGTGTAGCTTCTTTTGTCCATTTTTTTCACTTGAACAATCATTGCTTAGGAGCACTCCGTGTTCCTTATTATGGCTTTTTTTCTCTTTTTCTTTTCCTTTCCTTTTATTTCCTTCTTTTCTTTACTTTTTAAAAAACTATATCCTCAGTCTCTGATACATTCTTCTTTTAAAGATCTTTGATTCATTTTGAATTAATTTCTCATATAATATGAAGCAATGGTCCAAATTTATTATTTACATGTGACTATTCAGTTGTCACAGAAATATTTGTTGAAAAATAATTCTTCAATGAAGTAATTAAGCACCATTATTGAAAATCATTGAGAGGTAATCCACAAACAATACAATTTACCCAATTAAAATGTATAACTGAGTAGTTTTTAGTGTATGCACAGATCTCTGCTACCATAACCATTATAAATTTTAGAAGAGACCCTACCCCAACTAACGCCCTTTTACTCCTCACCTCCTCCAGCTCTAAGCATACACCTGTCTCTCTCCTGGGTGCAGTACATTAGTGGAGTAAGACACAATGTGGTCTTTTGTGGCTAACTTCTTTCACCTAACACAGCCCTTTTAAGCTTTACCCACTTTCTAGCATATATTGGTACAACTGAGTTTTCATATCTGCAGGTTCTGCATCTGTGGATTCAACCAACCATGAATGGAAAATATTTGAGAAAAACCCAATTGTATTTTTACTATACATGCAAGTATTTTTTTCTTGCCATTATTCTTTAAACCGTACAATATAACAACTATTTGCATAGTATTTACACTATTAGGTATAATAAGTAATCTAGAGATTCTTTAAAGTATGTGGAAGGACATGTGCAGGTTCTATGCAATACTATGCCATTTTGTATAAGGGACTTGAACATCCACAAATTTTGATATGCAAAGGGGTCCTGGAACCAAAATCCGTGGATACCAAAGGAAACTGTTCTTCATTCCCTTTATATGGCTAAATAATAGTCCATGAAATGAATGTCCTACAGTTTGTTTATACAGTAGTTGATGGACATTTGAGTTGTTCTCATCACTGAATATGATGAATAAATGCTGTGATAAACAATCATATATAATACTTTGGGTGAAAATATATTTTTTTCTTTGGGTGTATGCTTCAAAGTGGAATTCCTAAGTCATATGGTAACTATGTTTAAAATTCCCAGACTATTTTCCAAAGCAGCTACATCATTTTACATTCCCACCACCAGGTATGAGTAAAAGAATCTGACTGCTGCCATTCTCACAGAGACTAGTCTAAGTCCCTCCCACCCCCAGCACAGCTACATTCAGTGACTCTTATCACTTTCAGCCCTGGTAGTGATAGCAACCACTACTCCCTGTACATTTCCAAGCCTCATCCTTGGGCAACCATTACCCTTTGGGTCCTTGCTCTTGTGCAGCAGGCGGTGAAAACACTGAGCTAAATCCCCAGCCCCTCTCAAGCCTTATTCTTGGCAGGTAGTTACAACCCTGAAACTACTGAAACCACTCTCCCCACCTCATGACCCTATAAAAGACCCAATAGCTGTATGAGAGGAACTGATCTGATGTAGATGCCAGAGTGATTCCTCTCACTTTGTTCTGAAATAAATCTGTCCCATTGAACTCATATCTCTTTCCCCATCTTTTCCCCAAAATTATTGTGGCCCATTGGGGAAGGAGTGAAAGGGACTACTCCAGTATCCCCCACTTCTTCCTTTGTGACCCTGCCTTCCCTTTTTCTCTCTCTTCCTTACAAGATGCAGGAGGTCATTTAGCATTTCCTGTTAACCTTCCACTCAACACTAGACACTGCCTTATCCAGCCCAGGATTGGTAAGATTGGCCCCTCCCTTCCCCCCGTCACCAGGGAAGTACAGGTCTGCCATTTCAGACTCCAAGGGGATCCCACAGGGCCAGAATCTATGGTGAACTTCTGAAGAAATTGGAGTGGGAATGCCTGACCAATCTCTCAAAAAACCTTGGATGTGACCAGTCCATATTCATGAGAGATTCCATCTGGGTCCCTAGTTCTGTTTGGAGGATGCCCCAACACAAGGCTATGGACTCCTGGCAACTCTCTTATCAGTTACCACGGGCTCTCAACTTTCTCAAATTCCAGTAGATATCCCTTTGGGACATCTTCCCAATATCCCAGAAAAACCTTTGATGTGGTTGCGCCAAATAGAGTATCCCAGACTCCTGTGGGGTTCTGCAGGGCCAGGCTCCATGTGGACTTCTGGAGAGATTTGAGGGCAGCAGATACCCCTATGCATTAATTTGGCATATTTGATTTCCAAATTCTTCATGAACTTGATAATTACCTGCAGGAAAACGGTAAGGAGCAGGAGGTGTCTTATGTCTAAGCTTTCTTCACTCTCTGCTCATGTTTCCCTCTCTGCCAAAGTTTCTCTGCCCACTAGTTACTCCTTCTGGAGGAAAAACCTACACTTAACTCCTTAGACTCTGACCCTCACCCAGCAGATGAGCCTCTGTCACACCAGCTTCCTCCCTGTGGCAACTCTTGAGCCAACTCTGCCTCCCAGCCCAGGGAACCACAGAAGCAGCTTGACCTTCTAGCCCTTCTCCCTTACCCTCCCCACCAGTTACATGAGCTCATTGCTGTGTGACCCCTGCTGCTCCTGAAATCTTTTCACTAACAGCCAAAAATGTAAATAAAAATTCTAGGCCTAGGAAAACAAAGATGGATACATTTACTTTTGGCTTCCAATTTGAGTTGGTATTTTTGTTTACTTAATATATGTAACACATTTCTTGAGCTTTGTAAATTCTTAAACTAAAATTACAGGGTTAAATTTTTTTTCTGCTTCTTTCTGGTACTAAGATAATTTATACTATTCAAGGTTACTTGAAAGTCTGTTGGCAGCTAGTCAAAATTTAAAATGTAATAATCTGAGACCAAAGAAAGGAGCAAAAAAAGAGAGGACACTTTAATATCCAAGTGGCAACAGCCAAGCTTGTTATAAAAAAAAATTTCAGCAAGTAGGAAGAGTAGAATATGAAAGAAAGCTATATATTTTTGATGTTGAGAAAAGTTTTGTGGAGGATGTGGTATATAGAAATATGTTTGCTCTTATTGGTTTGTTCGAGCCTAGGCTGTTCCTTCTAAAATCTACTTGTTGCTCAAAGGAGACTAGGAAGTTATGGCCCTGACTCTCATCATTCACTCCTCCTCAGGTCCCAACTTTCCTCTCTGGTCTAACTGGTGCTTTGAGACAAAGGTTTGAACTCTCATTTCTGAAATTAATATTTGTCATGGGATTTTCTGCATAACTAGCTGGGACTACCTAGACCACCTCCTTGGGCAGTTCTGACCTGATTTGTGGCACTCATTATTGCTGACTTCATGGCATCTTAAATGTATTTGTTTCCCAAGTGTACAGGTCTTTAAAGATGCAAAACTGAAATACATCTCATCATACCGATGACTTCCAGACTAAAGTTATTTATGGGTGAAAATTTTCATCTTCAAGCATTGGGCTTACCCTTACTTGTGTTCCAGCTACATGTGATAAGATGTATATATTAACCTGGCATCAGCCAGCCAGCCAAGTTTCTTCATGTCATTTATGTCATGATTGTTATGCTAAAATGTTATGTTACCCTTGATCTTAAGTTTTCTCAGTGAAGCTTTATAGTTGTTATCTGTTAACATTCTGCAAGGATTTAATTCCTAAGACAACCATGATTGGCAAGGAAATAAGAGTTACCTGGTCATATTATAAATTTCAGGGTGCTTGATATCTAGATAAGATCATAAGATTAAACATACTGTTCCAACTACAATCCTGATTTAACTGATTTCCTGGATGTTCAACAACTAAAGTTGGGAGACCAGAGTTAAAAAGAATAACTGGGCTAAGAGGAAAGCAAATATTTTGGCCCTGGCCCTGCAAAGTCAACAAGGACCGAGGACATGAGGGGACCTTTTCTACAGGATTCTACAGCTTTGATGAGTCCCTCAACCTTCTGATCAGGGATAGTGTTGGACACCATGAGACAAGAGTGAACCAATGTACAGTGTGCTAAAAAGGAGGGTCCCCATCCATGATTCCATGGGAAGCCACATAGTCAAGCAAGGCTGTAACCTATTGTGGTAGCTGACACCAAACATCTGAGAGGCTCTGCATGTAGTTCCAAAAGTAATGCCTGACTGACCTGATAGACAGGAGGGGGTTAATTTTTATTAACATAGGTCTCACTTTAACTTGGTCTTGAACACTCAGCAGAAAAGTATAACCAAAGAGATATTAAGGTAATAGTAATATAGACAAAACATAAAAGAGGTGGTGGACTCTAATCACTGACCCCTGCTGACAGTTTTCAGCTATACCTGTAGACAAGTCTAGGAGACAGATAGTTACAAATGCTATTTCAATCCCTTAAAAACAATATCTGGATGTGTCTCCTTCTCCAATCTGTCTTTCCATTCCAGTGCTCATGCTTTGGACATATGTGCTTTAACATCTTGGTAAAGTTTGTTTATTCTCACCTAGGGACTGTCAAATTCAGAGTGGTCATGCAGATGGAACTAATGATAAAAGTGCCTTGGATCTACTGCCCCCACACAAGTCTGCTCAAGGGGCACATACATCATGCTTCATATGACATGTTGTACTTTTATTCCAGATAATCATGATAATGTAACAGCAGCTCTGCAAGAGATAAACACAGAGATTCAGGCGGTATATCCAATGTCTCAGGACTCCCTAAGAGTTCATGGGACTCACGGAAGTCCACTATCCTATCTTGGATTTTTCCCTTTATAGTGCCTGTTCTTTTTATTCACCTGTTTGTTATTGCTATACCTGATCAATCTGTTTCAAAGATTTTTCACCAATAGGATTACAGCTATTTCACAAGCAGTAGCCAAAGACCTCATCAACATGGTTCTCTTTCTTCAGTCCAGACAAAATCCCAACCACCACCAGCCCCAATCAGCAGGAAGTAGATAAGAAAGAAATGTGGTGCCTGTTTTCTCTATCTAACCATAGAGTCTGGAATGAAGGAATTCAGCTGCTGCCATTCTGACAGACTACTCTAAGCAGCCTCCCAGCGTAGCTGCACTCAGTGACTCCTATTACTTTCACCCCTGCTATTGATAGCAACCACTATTCTCTGCACTTTCCTAAGTCTCGTCCTTGGGCAATCATTACTCTTTCTCAAGCCTTGTCTTTGGCAGGTAACCACAACTGCCTTTCAATGAACACCTCCACCATGACCCAGTAAAAGACCCCATAGCCTGTATGATTTGATCCATTCTGATCTCAAGGGCAGAGTGGTCCCTCTCAGGTTTGTTCTGAAATAAACTTGTCCTAGTTAGCTCTATGTGGGCAAATATTTGGACACATCCTACAGTTAGTTAGACACTTTACTGTAGTTAGTTTCTTAAATTAATGCTTTTCACAGTCTTGCTAATGGTAAGAATGAGTAGTTTCTGTCTTATATCATTTTTGAGCATTTTTGGTCAAGGAATTTAAAAAAACTAAAACTGTTTTTGTTTGTGGTAATATAAAATATGGAATTGATCTTTCTAAAAAATTAAGTTTTTGAGTTCTGTATTCCATTACTAAAATATAGTATTTAACATTTCATATAAAATTATATCAAGATTAAAATGTTTTTCAGTAAAACACTGTTTTGATTTCTATTACTTTGTAGCAAGTTTTGAAATGAGGAGGGCCTAAGTCTTAAACATTGCCATTTTTCAGAGTTGTTTGGGTCATTCTGGTCCCTTGCAATTCCATGTGAATTTCAAAAGCAGCTTGCCAATTTCTACAAAGACATCATCTGGGCTTCTGATTAGTATTATGTTGAAATTATCTGGTGTATTCATAAAGAGCAAAATTCAGAGGCTTGAGGCTACAATACCCTTAGTGACTTATCTAAGTAGAAAATTTTTATCTGAGCAGAAATTTTGTTCAATTCATTAAAAAAATCTTTTTTTGTAGAATAAAACAAAGATATAGAAAATGATATAAACAAATATATAGTTTAATAAGTAAATAGCAAACATTCATATCCACTCAGTAAAAAATTTGAACATCATTAGGTATTACAGAAGTCACTGCATGTGTGATTGGAAATCCTAACTTCCCTCCAACAAAAAGTAATTGTTCTCCTGACTTTGTATTAATCACTTCTTTATTTTATCATGTTATTATCCTCATATGCTTCCCTAGAAATTACCACATAAACTTGTTATTAAAAATAGATACTATTAAAGTACTTTTAATCTATAAGTCACTCCTCTGTTCATTTCATTTTCCTTACAGTGTATCTGATGAATAACCGGTGAAGTTTTATTACAGTCTAGATTCTGCTGACTGCATTCTCTTGGTGCCAGTTAAAAGGTTCCTCTATTCTTTATATTTCTTATAAATCCATAATTGGGCCTTGAGCCTTGATCATATTCATGTTTGATCCCGTTGGCAATACCAACAGAAAAATATATGATGCTAATAGCAGTTGGTGCTCAATGCCTAAATCTATTAATTCATTGTATAGGAAAAATAATGGTATAATTATCATTAACAAATAATAATCTATTATTTACAATACTTTTGTGATTCTAATTATATCATTAATAAATAATAATCTATTATTTACAACACTTATAATTCTAATTATGTCATTAATAAATACTAATCTATTATTTACAATACTGTTATAAAACGGTAGTATTCCTCAGGTACTATTTTGTTATTCTGATATAATTCTTATAGGGAAAGATGATTGATTTTTTTTCCTTCCTGTTCACCAGTTTTCAAAGTAATGACTTTATTACTTATCATCACCCAAGGAAATCAGGTTATTTTAATATTATTATAAATTCATAGATTTAAACATATTGTATGTTTCAATCAATTGCAATTTTCATGTATCTCCTCATTACCTTTTGCTTTTGTTAAGGAATGATCTGTATTTTTGCTTGCTGTTGATCTTTCTAACTTGTTTTAATTTCCGGCATGTTTTTCTCCTTTCCGGAGTTCTGTATTTAAACTTCTAAGTATGTGTAGTTCTGATTTATGTTGCTTTTTCATATTTAGGTGCTGAGAGTACAAAAATGAATCAGCATTTGTCCTTGCCTTTGACAAACCACAATCTGGTACTCGAGATAATTGCAACAGACTGTGATACATGCATCATGAAAAAAATGTATAAATAACACAAAAGAAATGGGGATGAGTAACTAATAATTTTAAGTTTGTGAATTCTATGTTTAGGTTATTAAAATATAGTACTTAATATTTCATATAAAATTATATCAAGATTAAAATGTTTTTCTTAAATCTACACATTCCATCTCAGCACTAGTTCATTAAATAAGGTTTGTGGGGTTTTTTTGTTTTGTTTTGTTTGGGGGTTTTTTTGCTTTACTTTAGTGTTGTAAGATGTAAAAGTAGAAATTATGGCAGGAGCGCCACTATTCTTGGTTTTTATTCTCCAGGCAATGAACTCTGAGATAGAGGATACTGTTTTAGATGTTTATTAAGTAGTTTTGTTGAATCAAATCTGTAAAAAGTACAAGGAAACACCAAGAATGGGCAGAGGAAGAGTTAAGCTGTCCTGTAGGTCCACCAACCTCAGCCCACCCCATGGGGAACTCTGGGTATAAATTATCTGTCAGAGTTGTTCCATGTTGTGCCAGAATGGCTGGTCCTTGACATCTTTGCCTTGATGAGTCATTAGATGTTGACTGTCCCCAGAAGGCTGTGGCCTTGGGCGAGACAGCTTTCTGTGGCTGAATCAGTTTTGGGAGGGACTGTTAGCTGAACACTGTCTTACCCCTGCCAGAAATGGGGACAATCAGTCCTCTTTTGAAGGGGCATGAGTGCCACATATCCATGTCTCCCACCTACTATGATGAGGGATTGACCAAGGGGACAATCACAATTTGGTTTTGTGTTTCTTACATCTCTCACCTACCCCACAGGCATAACACAATAAAATGAGAGATTATGATTGTAATTACTGAAAGAAATATTAGACTTGTGATTACTCCCCACCACCTTTACCTTCTTTATTTCCCCGTAAGTTTGTTGGTGCATTTTAGGTATACCTTATGACCACATTCACCTTTAGGAATTTGCACCTGTACATGGTATACCTTTGTTCCTGTTTTTTCCCATTCCCCTTCCCTCCCTTCCACCTCTCTACCCCTCCCTAATACTTGGATGGGACACCCTTACCTTCTTAAATCAAGGCAGAGAGGCTGCAACAGGATCAGGTAAAGAGTACCACGTGTGTCCACTACAGCTTAAGGGATGCCATGGGTTGTTGCTAAAATTCTCTTGAGGAATCAATATGCTGAGATATGGGCCACCAGGTCATGTTAATGGAAGACTGAAAGATCAGTGACTTCTTTGGGCAGTGGACACTCAAAGTGTTTGAAAGGACTCAGGCAGAGAAAGCATTTTCCAATTGTGGGATATCTGTAATAGAGAATAGAATTGTTATTTTCATGAAAAATGTGGAGAAAAGAGATTTAAATGTAAAAAATTTCTCATTGAGCTAGGTACCTAGGAGCTAAAGAAGGAGTTATAAGTGAGCAATTAGGGAAAATGCACTACATACATCACAGATATAGTAGATTGAAGATTTCCAGAGACAAAAGAGATTGGATCCCCCAAGCTATGCAAAGTCCCCATGAAAGACCCTGGTTTAGACACCTGTAAGAGTCAGAGAGCATGTCATGAACTCACAACTGTAAACATTGAATCCCCTCAAATACTCCCCCTTTCTTTGAGCACACTTACTCCATTTTTCTTGCTATCCTCTGCAGCATTTCTGGACATCCTCTTTTGTGAGTGTCTTTAGTTTCATTGTCTCGGCAGCCTTGATGTCCTGAATTTCATGGTCATTTTGACTCTAGGGAAGAGCCAGAAAGCACATGGTGCCAGATCAGGTGAATATGGTGGAGAAGGACACATAATCATGTTTTTACCACCCTGCCTTTCCACTGGATGGCACTTGGCAGCAGCGTTCACTGTATTTTTGGCCATACCTCATAAAGACACTCACAAAAGATTTCTAGAACTACTTCAAAAGTGGCAAGAATAATGGGAGAAGTGTGTCCAAACTGAGAGGGAAGATTTTAATGGAGATTAATGACAATGTGTCTTTTATTGTAATAATTTTTTTAAAAACTTAAATAGTTACTGTATATTTTGATCACACCTTGAATTTGCTTAGGTAAATTCATAGACTTTTCAGAGCACTGATATTTCTAAGCAGTTGTTTCTAGTTTATTTAGCTGGACTTAACTCAAGGACTCTCTGAATCCTCTAAGAAAAATTATGCGCTATTTACTATAACTACATGGAATAGATTTCTAAGGAGAAATCTGATCCTCTAGCTATTAGCTCATGTTGGGAGCAGAATAACTCCAGACCAGAATGATCCTCACTGTGAAAGAAATGAAGAAGGATGTTAGAGAAAGGTAGTTGTTAGTCTGAATTGGATCAGACTGGGGATTGCAAATGCCACTAAGAATCTGGGCCTATCAGTTATCATGGGTGTACCAGATATCTTTCCAGAAAGCATTTATAATCTGGTAATATCCATAATTGAGATCTGCAGCCACTGCTCCCATATTTTAGGGTTCAAGCTAATTTATGGCCCTGGAATGAAGTCAGTACCTATCATACACTTACTGTTTTTTTTTTCTTTCTATTGAATATTTCTTGGATGTGGTAATTGTATGGTCTTCATCACAAAACGACACACATGGGTAAATGCCAAATAGTTTCGCTAGTGTGAGAAACGGAAAGTGTAAATAAGAATTAAAATGAGTAACTGATAATTTGAAATAGGAAGAAAAGGGCCAACAGGTTAGGGGAACTGGGAGGGGAAGGGGAAAGGAAAGAAGGGAAAGGAAAAATTATGAGAAAATAAAAAAATGGAAACAAAGTATTTGTAAATAGGGAATGGTGGAGGGGGTGAAGGGAGCACAGGGAATGGGGAAAAAATATGAACCACGCTGGAAAAATTGGGTTTCAACTTGCCAAAGATTAAAACTAGACCTATATCTCTCACCATGCACTAAACTAAAATCAAAATGGAGGGGCCGGGGATTTAGCTCAGTGGTTTCGCCGCCTGCTGCGCAAGCCCAATGACCTGAGTTCCATCCCTGGTACCAAAAAAAAAAAAAATCAAAATGGATCAAGGATATAAATATTAAAATAGAAACACTGAATTACCTGGAACGGAGGTTAGGTAGAACTCTTGAAGACATTGGTGTAGGAAAAGATTTTTATAAACAAAACTATAGTTGCCTGTGAACTAGCAAAAACAATCAACAAGTGGGATCTCTTCTTATTAAAAAGCTTCTGCACAGCAAGAGAAACCACCAGCAGTGCGAAGAGACAACCAACAATGTGGGAAAAAATCTTCACCTGCTTTTCCTCAAAGGTCTACTATCCCAAATCTATAAACTTAAAAAAATCAGACCTCCCAAATTTAAAGACCCAATCTAAAAAAGGGGATCTGAAATGAACAGACATTTCCCAGACAAAGAAGTAGAAATAGCAAATAAATACATGAAAAAATGTTCAACATCACTGGTCATTCAAGAGATGCAAAT